ATTACCCAAAGGTTTACATAAAAATTACAAGTTATATCAAATAATTTATTAATAAAATTAAGAAATAAAAGATAAAATAATAATATAAAAAAAAGAAAAGAAAGAAATTAAATCATATAGTTAATCAAAAATTACGTATATTTTACAAGTAAACTAATTAAGTTATATTTAGTAATTGATAGTTACTTTCTTATTATGAATTTAGTTCCCTTTATATACTTTTAATATAAATTTAATATATTATATATGTAAGTATATCTAATATATCAGATATATCAAATATATTATATATATTAGATATGTCAAACATATTTGATATGTCAAATATGTTTGACATGTTTGATATGTTGATCTGCATTTTTTTGCATTACATAATTAAATATATCTATAAAGTTGATTATGGTAACTATATCACTTATGTAACTATTTATAATATATTATATAGATTAATTATATTACAATAATCCTTTTACATTACTCTCTTCTTAAAATTTCTATTCTAACAGAAATTCAAAAATTTAATTTCTAATTTTTTTCAAAATAAAAAAATAAATAAAAAAATGTATATAAACTAAAAATAAAATAAAATAAAAAATATTTTTATAAATTTTTTTATATTCAAGTTATTTGTATTAGTTTTCAATTATAAATTCTTCTATAAAATGATCTTCATTTATAATATACTAATCTTTTTCTATATCAGATAAGTTCATTAAAATCTAACAGTTAAGTAATTTATTATAAAAGAGTTACTAAATACAAATTTAAAATTATTTTTTAATCAATTGATTATGCTGTTGAATTGTTTCTTAATACACAAACTATATAATAATTTTTAAAACTAATATTTTTATCTTTCTTGATTCTTTTATATGTATTTTATGAACTTTTAAAATTATGCAGCTTATTAAATTTTCAAAAATTTGTACTAAATAAAGAAATATTGATCAAAGAAATAGTATGCAAATATTATGTGATCATTAATAAAATAAGTTTATATTCTTAAAATATTATATAATAATTAATAACAATTTTGAATTAATAATAGATTGTTTATTTTCTACAAGAGAAAAATTCTTACAATCTTGAAAAAAATTTTATATGCATCTTTCATCTATAAATATCTTATAAAAATTTTCATCTCATAAGTAAATTATTGTAAATTTTTAAACATAATATTTTCAAAATACTTGTATAAATAAAAAAAAATCTCTTTTCTCTCAATACTTAAGTTCTGCTTAGTATAGACGTTTTAGAAGTGAAAAAGTTTTTTAAGATAAGACAGGTAGATTTAAAAATAGTTTGGTCTAGAAGTTTTGATTATATAAAATATATAGTCAGAACTCGATATAACGATTTGGGATAAACTGATTTTGGCTCATACTGATCTTTTTTATCAAACCAAAATCATATATAATTATCTTATTACTATATACTAATTTTCATATAAATTTCACAATATTACATATACTGATGTCAGATCATAAACCAGCTATATGTATTTATTCGTGATAAGCTGATACTGATTTTTTTTTAATATATTGATCATCATTATAAAGAATTTTTTTTTATTCTATATGCGATTTTTATTGATCTTCACCAAATATAGCAAAATAACAAATATTAACTATAAAATATATTTTTTATTGATAACTCATCCCCTTCAATAACTCTTTTATATTATTAGTATATCTATAAATAATAAAAATAAGCGTGTTACCCTATCTGTATCTCAAAAGCAAGAATTTTGTCAAAAGAAAATTGATAATCTGAATACTTCAAATATTGAACTTGTTGCTTATTATAATGTAAAACATAATATAGTTAGTAATATTTTAAAAAGGAAATCTGAATATTTATCTGCTTCTAGCTTAGAATTAGAAAGGAAAAGATTAAGGTAACCCAAGTATAAAGAAATAGATGATACTATTGAAATTTAGATATCTCAATTTTTAGCTGCAAATTAAATATAAAGGGTAATGTCATATAAAATAAAGCTAAGCAGTTTGTAGTTAAATTTGATATTACTGGATTTACTGCTTCTGCAGGTTGGCTAACAAATTTTAAAAAAAGAAATAATATCTATTTATACATTAAATCAGGTGAAGCTACCAGTGGACCTTCATTAGAAGAAATTGATGAATATAGATAAAAAAATTGGTGAAAAATTATCTGAATATGCATTGGAAGACATTTATAATTGTAATGAGATAGGTATTTTCAATTAAATATACAATATTATTACTTGATTTTTAAATGTTTTGATTTATTTATTATTTATTTTTTTTAGCATTATTTTGGCAATTAGAACCATCAAAAACTCTTGCACAAGGACCTGTAACTGGAACTAAAAAATTCAAAAATAGAGTAACTATTTTATTGATATGTAATGCTATAGGTAAAGATAAGCTTAAACTATTATTTATTCATAAATACAAAAACCCTTGCCCATTGCGTAGTATAGTTATTGAAGATTTTGTTTAATATTATTGAAACAAAACTGCATAGATGCAACAATCAATTTGGCTTGATTATCTAAAGAAATTAAATGAATTAATGTGTATGTGCTATAAAAAAATTTTATTGTTAGTTGATAATGCACTAACACATGATAAATAAGATAAATTACTTTCTTTCAGTAATATTGAGATTTATTATTTACTACCTAATATAACTCTATATTTATAACTTTTAGATCAAGGAATCATTAATTCTTTTAAAGTAAGTATAATAAATTTATATTTAAAATTATATTTTAGTATTTTTATTAATTTTTTTTTATTAAATTAAGGCCAGATATAGAAAATTATTGGTAGAAAATAGAGTTAAAGAGTATGATATTTCACAAGAATTAAATATGTCTATTATTCCTATTAATATTTGTAATATTATTGAATTTATTGTTAAAGTATGAAATCAGGTTAATCCTATCACAATTAAAAATTGCTGGTTAAAGACTGGTATTATTCCATCAGATAATGGGTTAGATATGAATGTGAAGCTTAATTTTGATAGGAGTAATGTTGAAAATGATTTAAATGATACTATGTAAAAGCTACTATATAATGATACTTTAACTGTATTGGAATATATTAATACTGATAAATTAAGTAAAGATGAGGTTTTATTAGATGATGATGAAATTATTGAAACTGTGTGATCAAGACATAATACAGAAGAAATACAGGATAATGAAGATGAATTTGTTTTTAATATTTCTTTAAGTGATGTATTAAATAATGTTGAAAATTTAATTACTTTTCAAAATTTTCCGTCAAAAAATTATGAGGTTACCAATGATGAATTAAAGATTTTAAAGGAAATTAGAAGAAAGTCTTAAAATTTAAATCTGAATCTGCACTTCAATTAAATTTAGATGAATTTGTAATTTTTGAATAGGATTTTATCAAAAACATAATATAATGCATAATAGTATATTTTCTGTTAATAAATAAAACATATATTGCAAAAAAAATTGATAAACCAAATTATAAAAATTTTACATAATAAGTTCAGCATAATAAGAATATTTATCTTACTGAATACTTGATATAATGATGCAAAATCATCTGAACAGAGGGTTCGTTATATTAAGTTTTGATTGTATACTAGCTTGTCATAAGCTTTTGAATATATATAACCTATACTGATTCTTAATGAAGTGTGATAATTTATTTAACTTTATTTAGTTAATTATAGCAATAACAGTTGACTAAAGTACCCCCTATAGTATAATACCCTTTCTATAAATCTGGTCTAAAAGACCCAGATATTATATATAATAACTTTAAAAAAAAATTGTGAAAATTTGTATAATACCCAGAATATTATACACTGATTGTTTTTTATATACTGTAGTATTTATATAAATCATAAAAATATCAAAATTTATTATAAAATCAAAAAAAAAAATATATCAAATTAATCTATAAATTATATTCATTATCATAATCTATTTCTTGATTTTATATTCATTTATATCATTTGTATCATTACCATAACTATCTTCTTTTTTATTATTACTTTGATTTTCTTCATTATCAATATAAATTAATTCAGTTTTTTTACTTTTTTTCTTTTGTAAACTATCATAATCAAATATTAAATCATCTTCACTATTATTTCTAGCAATAGAAATACTACAACATTTAAATGATTTTTGAATTAAATTAATATCAATATCAACCTATGATCTTTTTACTTAACTAGCAACATTAGCATATAAAAGTTTTTTGATTCTTCTAGAAGGTGTTAATTTATGAACTTCAGAACTTATCTAATTATTATAATATTGACATAAATTTACTTTAAAACTTTTGTTAATTACTACATCTAATGTTGTAATTTACTTGTAAGCCTATCAGGAATAACTGCAATATTTGTTTGTTTTTCATTAAATCTATTTTTTACTGAATCCACAAGATGTTTTCGAAAAAAATCTAAAACTAGTAAAGATCTTAGATTATTTAATAAATTTCTTCAAGTCTATACATTCTCAATCTACTAGAGCATTTCTTGTTCATTACACTATCTTTTATCATTTATATGAATAAAAATTCTTTCAGGAAATGATTCTCTTGGAATATTTTTAAGTTTGAAAATACAAACTGCTAGTAATTTTGTATTATCAATTATATATCTTAAAATAACTATGAAGTTTAACTTTTCATGACCTGTTGTTTGTATATTAATAGTTGAAGTACTATGATAATCTAAAGTAGTTGAATAAAGTAAATCAAATGTAACAGGAGTTTCATCCATATTACTAATATATTCTAATAAATAGTCATATTGAATACGCTATATAAAATAAAAGCTAAAAGTTTTGCTACTTTTCTAAAAGATTTTCAGGAAATTGTTAAGTAATATGAATTCTTCATTTTGTAGCAAAATTGTATCTTTTCATAAATTTCTCTAACCATGCTTCTGAAAATTTAAATTCTTTAATATTTGCATAAAGATTTATCCATTTTTTTTTATTAGCAAATAATTTTGCTTTTCTAACTACTAATATTTTGCATAATAGTTTTTACAGCTTTATGTAGATTAATTACACATAAAGAAAGCTCTTTTTCAAGTTCTGAAAAAGCTGAACTTTTGCCTTTATATAATTTTTGGATATATAGTACTGTATTTTCAAGTTTAGTTTTTAATTTATTCAGTCTTAAACTTGTTTTGATTTTATTTGAAATCATTTTACAGTTAAACGCTTACATTTACATTGTTTTACATGTTTTATTATAAGTAACTTTTCTCTAGCACATCATTATCTTCTTTATTTTATTATTACTCTTGTTCTTTTATTAGCAGGTTTATTTCAGTAAACAACCATATCAAAAAAAAAATAAAAAGGGAAAGATAAAATAAAATAAAAGTTAAAACATAAAATGAAAAAAAAAGGTTTTAAAATACACTTTATAATATATTATTTTGATTATAAAATAATTGGCAATAAATAATAAAATTGTAAATTCTTAAATTACATTTGAAAAAAAACTTTTGTTTAAAAAAAAATAAAATTTTATTTAAAAAAGAAAATTTTTGTTTAAAAAAATTTTTTAAAAAACTAAGTTATGCTATATGCATGCAAATATTTAAACTTCTTATTAGTTAATTTAATTTCAAATAGTAAACCTTATATGGTATAGCATAGTATCTTTTCTTTAGACTAAAGTATTCCTTATAGTATAGTACTCTTTTAACTTTACGAATTGATAAAATACTCAAATACTTTAGTCAACCATTTACGGTAATACTTTATCTTTTTTTATTAAACTAAAAATTCTTGTTAAAAGTTTATAAAGAAATTCAGATCTAAAAAAATCTTCAAACAAAAATTTTAACTTTAAAAATCAATTATTAACTTTCTTGAATCAAATGGTTAAATTTTTTCTTGAATATAAACATTGGGAAAGATTTGCTTTAGAAAAAGAATAAGAATCAAAAACTTTAAAAGAATTATAAAAAATTTAATGATAACTTTTAGTTAATTTATCAAAAAGGAAATATCAATTTAGAAATCCTAAAGTAACTTTGAAAATGTTTTAACTTTATTCAAAATCAACTTGTAGAAAATAATAATTGCTATCAATTTTTAATGTATCTTATTTCTTGTAAAGACTATTTATTAAATTAAAGATTTTTTTTTAAATATTATTAATAAATTAATATATATTTGATTATACAAAACAGTAGGTCACAGTCTTATAAGACTGTGATCTACTTACGTTATAATATGATCTACTTAGGTGATAAGGTGATCTACTTATTAGTTTTTATTGTTCTGTGGCTATTTAGTTATTAAGTAGGGTTGTATTTGTTTTTATTGCTCTATCCTATTTTTATTGCCTTCTAGATATCTGCTAATTTTCGTTGCTCTGTGATCTTTTTGTGGTTATTTTGCTATGTTGTGTTTATTACTTATTTTGGGTTTGTGTGCCGTTTTGGTTTTATTATTGCTTTATGGTTTCTTTGATATACTTGCCGGCTTTTCTTTCTTGTTATGAATGTAGATTTCTTATTTATTGTTTGAGGCTTTCATACAGTTCTGGGCTTTCTTTCTGCTATATGTTTTTTGTTGTATACGCCTTTTTCTCATTGAGTATTTCTATTGTAAGATCGTTAATTGGTGTTCTTGGGTTTGATTACGCCTGTGGGCTTTATTTTGAGGGTTTGATTGAGGCGAGTGTGGATCATTAGGAATTATATCTTGGAGGTATCCTTTATGCGAGAAAGCCTTCCAAAGTCTTTGGGTGCTGAGTCTTTAGTGCTGGCTTGGGTGAACCTACTTTGCGCAAAAAAAAGAGTTTGCATGCAAGCGAAGGCTTATTATATTACCAGTGAATCTGCGTATCATATAAGCTTCATTTCATGTAGGCCTGATCTGGCTTGTGCTGTGCTGTGACCTAATTTCTGAAGATGAGACTGTCTTTCAGGCAGAGCCAGATAGTATTGAATCAATTTTCGCAATTTGAGATTCGAATGGATTATAATCCTTATTTTTAGGCAAGGATGAAGAAGCCTGAGACTTGGATATTGGGCTGGATTCTTGATCTGATTCAGTATCACTGTCTTCTGATTCTGATT